GGATCAAAGCATCACTAAGAGCTGGCGATACTTGCAGGCGAGTTCTATCAATCTATTAAACATTTAATTCTATCTATTTGATATGGTAAAACAGTGAGTTGCTTTGTCTTACAACAGTTCGTACACACACGAGACTCATGTCATAGCATCCACACGTATGTGCGCTGCGTTTGCATCTCTCTTACAAGATATATATATATATAATAAATAGTATATAATATATATGCGTGGGTGTGTGTTTTTGTTCGTGTGCACGCGGCGTGCGTTGCGTGCGTCTTAAGCAACATTCTGACATTTCCACAGTCATCGACCGATGCGCCTAGGCATCCCTAATTGTGGCCAACATTTTGCTATACATCGTTAAAAGCTGCACATTTACACACATAATTTACCGCTTAACGGCATCTGCCTGGTATATATCTAATTATTATCATCATTATCACACCACACACACACTCACACACACACACTACACAACACACACACACCACACACACACACACTACACACACACACACAACACTCACGCCACGCACGCAACACACACACACACACTCACGCCCACGCACGCACCCATACACACCACACACCACACACAGCACACGCAACCACGCACTCATCCGCGACCGCAAACACACACACACACACACGCCACGCACGCACGCACGCACCACACACACACACACACACACACAACACGCACGCACGCCACGCACGCGACGCACGCACCACTCACGCACCACGCACGCCACACACACAACACACACACACAACACACCAACGAAGATAAGTATCTTTGGTCGTGTGGTGGGTATGTGGATTCGTGTGTGTTGGTGTGTGTGTGGTTGGAGTGGGTTGGTGTCGTGTGGTGCCCTGTTGTGGTTGTGTGAATGTGCTGTGCATGTGTGTTTAGCATTCCATGCCATCGCCAATGAGTCCTATCAAATTCGCATAACACGCGTTGATTGTAATACATCTCTTCACTATTGCGCGCAAACAATGTCGATGATACACGCTGCACGCGTATATATAGATAGTATACATATATAAAGAAATTATATATATATATATATTATAATATATATATATAATAATTATAATATATATATATATATACTATATATATAATATATATTATATATATATATATATATATATATATATATATAAACGGATTGTAATGCTCTAATATAATAGCGTAATATCGTACTCAGCAGTGCACCCCCGGCCTCCTTCCTGTAGCTTGGATGTTGCACACACTAGCACGATCATTCCTAACCAGCCTCTACCGCGTATAGCCCTTCGCTATCCGCCTACATACAACATAGCCTCGTTTACACGACGAAAGTTAACTCGAGTTAAGCTAACTCGATAAAGCGTTCAAACTCGATTAGCGATATGTAGCGTCTACACGGACACACCCGATAGCGATTATTACGATTATTATGCATGCGTGCGTGCGTGGTATTAAACGGGTGCTTGTGTGCGTGCGTGGTGATGAATACGGTTGCGTGCGTGCGTATGTATGCTACGTACACGTGCTTCGCGTGGTGTACACGTAACACGTGCGCATGCGGAGCTACGTACATGTCGCTGCATGTGTGCGGCGTCATGTTGCACGTACACCGTGCTGCGTGCGTGCCGTGTGCACGTACACCGTGCGTGCCAGCGTGAGTGCGCTACATGGTGCGGCATGTGGCGTGCGTGCGGGCGCGTGGCGTGCGTGCACGTACACGTGCGGCGCGGTGCACGTACACGTGCGTGCATCGGCGTGCGTGTTATCGTTGCACGCATCTCAGTTAAGCCGCGTAGAGACGGCTAACCTCGAGCTAGTACCTCACGATAGGCGCAGCACTAGTACGATGTACGTTACACACGCTAACGCACGCACGCGTACTTGCACACGCACGCAACACACTCTGCACCACGTGTACGCTGCACACATGCACGCCACGCACGCACCACGCACCATGTACTGCACACGTCAGCACGCACGCCTACGTGCACATCACGCACTTCTACGCACGAACCGTTACCTGCCCCACACGCGCGCACGCCACGCACGTGTACTTGCCACCACCCGCACCCCACACACTCATGCCACGCGCACGGTACGTTGCACACGAGGCACGCACGTGTACGCGGCACAGCAGCCATGCACGCAACGCATGCCACTCACGATGTACGTGTTCACACGCACGCACGCACGCAATCACGCACGTGACGTCACATACACGCCCACGGCATGCCACGCACGGTACGTGCGACACCACGCACGCACGCACGTGTACGTGCACACGCACGCACACGCGCACGGCACGCACGCACACATGCCACACACATGTTACGCACTCACGCATGCACGCACCGTGTACGTGTCACACGCACGCACGCACGCCACGTGTACGTGCCACATGAACGCCCACACATTCACGCACAGTACCACTCACGCATGCACGCACGCTTACGGTACAACGCACGCACGAACGCACTGTACTTACATACACATACGCACGCAACCACACACTTATAACATGCACACGCCACGCACACACGACGCACGCACGTTACATACACACGCACGCACGCCATGCCCATAAAAACCGGTAATAATCGCTTATCGGTCTGTGTTCGTGTAGACGCACATAATCGCCGTAACTCGATGTAACGCTTAAGTAAACTCAGTTAGCTTACCTCGCATCGACTGCAAGGTTAACGCTAACTCGAGTTAACGCTAACTCGAGTTACCTTAACTCGAGTTAAGGCCCCGTGTAGACGCTTAACTCGAGTTAAGGTTCGTCGTGTAGCTATACATATATCAGGCGCGTAGCTACCTATACGCAAAGTACGCAAATGCGTACTAAAAATTTTCAGAATAAAAAAATACATTACCTTTTTACTAAAACAAAATAACATAACGTTCAGTTGGGCTTACAGAATTATGCGTGTGATAAGAATAATGACTACAGTGTCATTACGCCAGATGGTCGGAAGGATTTCAGTAAAAATAACAACTTTGACAAATTTGAGTGCAATTTTATGTTCCATAAAAAAATGTCTGGGTGCGCCCCTGCACATACATACAGGGGAACGGAGAAGGGGCTACACTGGTAGCGCTATATATCATATGCCGTAACACGCAGTGAAGCCTTACTACCGTCTCTATATACGACACGCTCCTTGCTTTCAGAGTGTGCCTGTCCTCCCCCTCCTTTCAGTCCCCTTGACTCTATAAAAAAGGCCATAAATTTCGAGTGTTGGTTATTATAATCGAATGGCATGCTGGTACATGCATGAGCAGGGTAAAATAATTATAGGAGAAAAAGCGCCGAAACATGAGAGATTTGTTTTCGTAATTGCATCTTTCAGCTAGATTTTTATATACTCGGCAGGCATCGAGGTTCCGTAGTTCACCGGTAGCTGGACTGTGCATGGTTATATATCTGCAAGAATCTACTACTATAATGAGCAGGCATACCTTTGTTGTGGAAACGTATTTAAACACCTTACGACGTTTCATATATTCTTTCATCTTACTTTTTTTCTTACAAAACCTTGACATTATATAAACGCAATACACAACAGATTTTTACATTACCTTGTGGTTATTACAGTGAGAGATTCAGTTAAAAGCCTTTAATGTCGACCTATTGGTGGGTATGTAATCTCTATTTTCACCAAAATACTATTACATTCAACTGATAATACATCTATTACGCCAGAGCCGTATATAAAGACGGCTATATATCTCTATATACGGCTCTGTAATACGCAAGACATGCGTGCCATCTATTGGATAATATATACTTCAAAATAAATAAATAATAATTATCCCCAAACTGGGCCCCTTGAAATTTTAAAAGTGAGCCCCGGCCGGGATTGGCCATTTCTATTGTATTTGTCGAATAATTAGACTTGCGGGAAGGCATGTCTTTCTGCTATGCTACAAGATAATTTGATGCGATTAGTCATCTTATGAATATAAGGAGATGACAGCAATGATTACAAGATGAAGGCAATATTAAGATACAGATATTTTGTGTCAAACAACTGGTAAATATATATATATATTATGTCTATGTCTCCATCTATGCTACAGGGAGATTTGGTACGACTAAACAACTTAATTGTGACAATATAGAGTGAGAGATTCTGATTGAGAACGCTCATGTCAAACTACGGGTGAATATGTAGTCATTACGAACAATTTCAGCAAAATGTCATTTCATTCATTTGATAACTGTTGAACATAGAACTGCATATAATATTAGGTAGGACGTACGCATATCGCTATCTATTGGGTGATTTATATTTTATTAGTATTACGTTAGCCGTCAATACTTTGTCCTATAATGTTTAACGTGCGACATCAGGATATATTTTACATGTCAAGATAATGCGACGAATGTCTCTTACCCATTTTAAAAGTACAATTTCAACAAAATACTACTGTATTTGGCAATCACTATATATATGGGTAGATAATAACAAATTTGTCATTATCTATCCCTGATAATATGAGTGCACGTGCGTGCGGGCGTGTGCGCATGCGTACGGGCGTCCGTGCGTGCGTTTCGTTAAAGGCCTTCCTAGTGATCGAACTTAGATGATAAGTTCATCATCTATATACATATGAATCTAAAGCTTTAACACGATCGCAACATTTCTCAAATCCACTTCTAATGCCGCTGGTACATAAAACAGACATTAGGTTTATAATTATTACCATTAAATCACTATAAGAAATTCTTCTTAGAGAAAAGTTCAGAGAAAGCACGACACAGCTGCTGGCAAACGCTTCAATTTTATCCGCACTGGATTTGTATAAACAAAGGATGGTAAAAAACAAGGTCCAAAAAAAGCAAGAAACTACAAAGAGCTAACAAACACCATAGATATATGCAAGCACATATATCTATGCAAAAACATGCAGACCGTGTGAACTAAGCAAAACGTAACGCTGTGATGGGTTTTTAGAATTCATACTCAATACAAAAGAATAAAGTGTAACATACACAACATTTTTGATTTATTTGTAAAGCATCAACACTACAATATGACCAGAATAAACACATAGAAGCAGTCTTCAATAGAAATGTGCAAATCTGATAACAATCATGCCCAGCCAGTGTTACACTAAAGCAGTAAAAACTACGATAATGCCTACTCAGATATATTACAAACACTATCTGGGCTGACTGATAGCTACACATCTATATCAAAGCATGGAATTGCCTGATCTGTTCGTAGCATGACGTAGAACATGATTGGAATTTACCCACCATTTCAAAACTGATCATGGTATCCATAAGACGTATTTACATAATTCGCAAAGGTTCAGAATGGTATCGCAAGTTAATCACACTGTGAGCATTAAGTGTATTTCTATTTTTAGATGAACCCAAGTACATCGACCAGTTAACAACGGTCTAGATTGCGAAAAAAGCAGTTCCTTTGGCTTAGGGCAGTAGGTCAAAGGCTTAGACAACATGCCATCAAACAGGTCAATATATATGGATGCTTCTTAAAATATAAATAACTTATGGTTAACTGTGAAATAAAATTCATGACATTATTCTAAGACACTGCATGATCATTTCAGGGACGTGGGAAGCTGTGGCTGCATTCCTATTATTCTTAGTAGGCTTGCACGAGTTTCGCAACATACTTGACGAGTTCTGTGATGTGAACTTGTTGCTGAAAATAAACATGCGATATAATAAACTAGAGTTCTAAGATGACACAAAAAACCTTCAATAATAAACTAGTGCTATTTTGATCAATTACAATTTTAAGATTTCCCACCAATTCCATATTCTGTGCCAATGCCTTACAAAGAAGATAGCTCAAAATCAATGATGATGGCAACAACACACATGATGATGACCCTAACACACTAAAACCTGGTTTGGTGACTGTAGGAATATATAATAGACAGACATCTGATTACGAAGCACACGTTTAGCATTCTCCTTTATTTGCAATTATACAGTGAAACCACCTCTACAAAATGCACACCTGTCTATCAAGAATACATTTGGGTTTAGCCTTAATTGATGATGATGATGATGATCACCCTTATATACAGGTTTGACTGTACCCGTCTAGAAAGGCAGCGAATATTCCAGAAACAAAATCTTTAAAAATCACCTTCAGTGTTGTGTCTCTGTTTCTGAGAAGGCACACACCAGTCTTCACTGTGTTCTCATTCACAGAGATGCTGTATGGAATTCCCATCTCATCAAACCTATAGTTAACAACATGAAATCATGATCTCACAAAAACAACAACAAACAGTGAAACGCATGTAAGTCGCTAACTAGAGAAATAAATACACATTACATGCAGCTGTTGACCCACCACTGCCCCATTACGTATTACTGACAGGGTATTTCCAGTCTTCATTCCTATTTTTCGTATTTATATGGTTACATAACAGCAGGGGGTGAGGACCAATATTATTGCTGGCTGCCTTTAAACTTACAATCCGAAAGTGAGCGGAGGACCCAATGGCCGTGCTAACTGGATGGCTGAGATCGTGTCACGTCATGCATATGTTCCGTAATACGTTTATGAAGATTCAATTGCCACGCACGTACATTTTCTGCTGCGATGCACAGCAATGTCTGTGAACCGTGTGCAACAAATGCAACCTAGCATCTGCGACCACGACTCACCGCGTGTACTGGCTCTCATGAGAGCCCACTGTCGCCGTGCCCTGAATGTACCACATGCGCAGGCGAGCGTTAGCAAACTCCACAGCCAGATAGTCTGTGAGATCTCGCAACTCCTGTCCGGCACCCGTGACGATGGCCACCTTGTACGGAGCCAAGCGTGGATGCAGCCGTAGCACCTGGAGCAGCACAGGTAACCAACCTTGTGTAATGAGTACAGACAAGTGCGGGGAATCAACAGGTGAACAAGGCAGGGTTTAAGTTTCACCGGCATGAAGTAAATGGCAGTGTGTTATCAAGCACAAGGCTTACCTCCTTTGATGAAATGCACCCCTTTGTGTCTGTGCGTTCTTTCAGATGGTAAGCGTCGACCAAGTACGCAAGCATGACACGTTCCAAACTGCTGGAGCACTCAACCAGGTGAGGCAACACAGATCGGCGGCCATCTTTGCCCTAAAATACCCAGCATCACAAATTTATATTAATAATCCACCCAAACCCAAATCAGGAACCAACAATTACAGATATAAAACTCTCAGATGAATTAGAGAATGTGCAGCTGACCAATCACACACTACCTGGCAGCTCTGTCCACTCCTCAATTCGAGGGCCTTTAAATCTGCATCGCCACGGGCTGAGATTACCTCAATTGCCTCCTCTGCCTCCTGCCCCTCCCACGGAATCCGAAAGCTTATAGTAACATCGGTGACCTTGCTTTCTGACTGCTGCACCTCCGACAGGGTAAAGTTAGAAGGTGTCCCAGCAAACTAAAGTAGAAAAGTAAAGTCAGGCTTCCTACCCACGTGTGATGACATCAGACAAGAGAGGGAGAAAACGGGTACTGGCCGGGAAGTGCCCAAATCCACAGTAATAACAGAGTCAAACACCACCAAATAGTTATAGCGTGCAGTGAAATAGATAATCATTATGGTTCAATTTTGGAAAAGAGAAACGATGTGTAACAGAAGTTGTGCATCAATGCGCAAGGCAGTGTTGTGTGTCACGATAAAAGTACAACATGCCACAACAACAAATATTTAACATGTTGCCATAATAACATATGCACCTTTCTGTACCACAACATGCGCCGGCGTTGCCAGCGCGTGAATACGTCGGTCACCTCACCAGCTCCAGAAAAGTACTGCAACAGCAACTGTTGGCTTACTCCGCTGCTGAAAAGTGACACTCGCATGATGTACAACATGTTCAAATGTAAAGGCCTTACAGAAGAGTTAAATGCCTACGAATCAGTTAGCAATTCCCTGGGAATCACCTATGTATTTACAACAGCAGATTAATTTTGACTGTATTGAGAGACCTGTATTCATTTCATCACAGTATGCAACACAAACGCCCTTGGCTAGCCTCTAAGCAATAATGCTCGGAACTTGACGATAAATATATGTCATTTGCCATCCCAGCCAATGCTATTCACAACATCTCGAATATATTACACTGCTCGTATTCACCCGATGGGGTATGCGTTGATATCGTACTTTTGAAAAAACTTGTTCCTGCCCGCTGCCATCACTTCATTACCGTGGCGATGGGTCCAACACTGAGCAATTCCAAATGGCAGACGGCCACCGACAAGGGACAGTGTGGGAAGGTAGTGGCACAATTGACCTGTTGTGTTTTAATGGATGGGTTAGAAATATCTGGATACAAGTACACAACAACTCTGACACAAATACTAACATATCTTTAAAACACAACAAATACATGGACTTAAGTAGATTATTTTTATTATTTATTTATAATTTACATATTCACAGTGTTCAGTAAAATATAATTCAAATAGCAAAAATAAGGTTATTAGCTCTGCTGACGTACGGTAATTTTATCGCTGTTAAATTTATTTGCACTCCTGATTCTAATTCCCATGTTGTACTTCAAATGAAAGTGTCAATGACACTGTAGCCCACCACAAAAAAGGACACAAATGAGTGAGTGAGAAGAAGTCAGTTTTAATTGAACAACCATCGACATACATTATAGAAACGAAGAGTATATATGGGAGAACTCCCATTATATACTCTTGATAATTATTTGTAATTTTTTATGTGAAAATAAATGTTTGAGATGTGAAAGTCTGAGATGTGGTCGAGTGATGGCGTTACACCTAAATGATCGCCATTTAATGTTTTTATAATATTTAGCCACTGCCTAAAAGAGGAGCTCCCGATGTGTAACGTGTAAGATTGAGAGGATATGCTTATTCCACGTAGCTGCTATATACCACGTGACAATGGTGTTTCCCTGCCCATAACACAACTTTTGTCAAAGGTTAATTGATTGCATGGAAGTGTTTACTTCGTACGCAGTTTTTCTAGGTGGTAGCACACGGTTGCCATCTGTATATCGCAATAATAATTTAATAACCAAAATGAATCACAATTTGTGATGGTAGATGGCGCTATACCGCTTTGATGTTTCTTAGCGATGGCGTTCGAAATAAAATAGGTTATGCTGCGTTCCGACATGTTTTTTGTAAAACTTTACTCTAATATAGACGTTTTATCGGCAGGGTGTGAGCGAAATACCAATTTTGCATTAAAGATATTGTCAATGAAATCTGGTAAAACGAACCAGACGAGTGTGACACACAGGACTGTTTGTTATCTGCGTGTCTATATAATATGTTATATAATTGCCAAAACCTACCTAATTTGCATAATTTTTTTTAAATATCAAACCCTAGCTACTATTCATTCACATACCAAAAATGAGCAAAATCCGTTGAACCTGAACTGACTAATGGCAATTCCATTTTGCCAAAAAATTGCCGTGGCTCGAAAGTACGTCGACTGGCGTGCTCAAAAATAGTGTAATGAATTGGTTTTGTCATATATGTGTACTCTCGTGTGTGTGAGGCTCCGTGACGTATAGTGTATACCATGTGATGTTGTTCCCAGGTTCTGCTATGGTGCGGGGTAATTATGACCCTGAGGTAATCACAAAGTAGACAGACACGAGGCAGGCCTCGACGCTTATTTTCAGATCTGGTTGTCCTGTCGGGCAACAAGAAGCAATTTTACTTGTCCGAATTTTGGTTTTACTTGTCAAAATTTATTTTGTGCAATGTACGAGCCGTTAATGTCCTCTTTTGGTTCAGTGCATATCATATTATCAGGAGTGTATAATATAGAGATCTATATTATATAAATAGATATATAAATAGATACATATATTACATATATAGATAGCATGTATATATATAATATATATATATATATATATATATATAAATTATTATACACTCCTGACATTTTTGCCAGTATTCCCTGCGTGCATATAGGCTCGCACATACCTAGGCATGTGCACACGCGTTTGCATGCGTGCGTGCGTGTGTATTACACAGTTACAGTATATATATACCGTATTTACTTGTGTATAAACGCGCCGCTTTTTGTACACAACTTCATTAAAAAAAATCAGGGGGTGTGACTTATAGACGAGGCTAAGAAATCTTGTTAATGTACCAATGTTTGTACCAATTTTTCAATGCAAAATATGGGTGAGACTTAATATATTACATGAATTATACTTTACACGAGTAAATACAGTACATGCTAAAATTGTAATGAAATTCAACACGTTTATGTTTGCATGCTGGCACGCCAATTGTGTTGTCATTACCGATTGGCAGCTTTTTCCTCAATCACAGGAAAGAGTTTTGCTGTCATCCTCTCATCCAGCGATGCCCACCCCCTACATATTCAGTAATGAATATGCCCCAACCGACTTATAAACAATCGTACCCCCACCGCAGTACATAAATCAATGCCGCCCCAGCCAGGGAGGTACGCGCTGCCGCTCTGAATAAATCTGTAATGGTAACAGTGGGTGTCTCGGGCTGCTTTTTTCAGGGACCTTTGAAAACGTTTGAAGTGAGAATGTGGTGCGATAGCGCCCTGGCTCAGAGGATGTTAAGAATATTAAACAACTAGAACTTTTCAGTTGTCGATCGAGCAACTAGGCAAGAGAATAACTTGTCGACATAGACTTTCATTTGCCCGGGCAATCGGACAACCGTTAGTGTCGAGGGCTGCGAGGTATAGCGTACAAACAAATGTCTATTTAATTGTTACACAAAAAATTACAGAGACAAGTTATTAGTTACATATGGAATGCAAGATCCTAAAGAGAGTTTACACACGCACATACAAGTACCAGTCTTAAAAGGATTTTGAGACATGTTTTAAGATGCATACTGTAACACGAATATGGTAAGACCTAAACTATGAAACATATATATACATACAAAAACTGTCATGCGCTGACCAAGCGCTTGACACTAACAATAACATACTCACAGATTGACTGGGTGGTTCTTACTTTCTGTTCAAAAGTGGCTATATTTATGCGAGTCTGGATTTGTCACGTGACTTTAGTAGTGCCACGGATTTTTAGTGTAGGTTAATGATGTCTAGACCAGTGGTCATCTTGACCACTGTCGCCATTTCTCAACAAGAGGGGCTCTTTGTTCTATGCAGTTCTACGTCCCTCGCTTGGACTAATGATCATCGTTAATCTGTTCTTTACGACTCCAGCTTGGCGACACGGTGCCATAGTTAGAAAGGGTTTGCTTATCTGCGTAATCTAGCCTTGAAGTAGACGTGGCCAAGACCCGTGACTGTCCTGCGGCATTGTAATCGTAATGTAAATATCGTAATGACTTCGCTTCATTACAATAGGACGTTCAATATGGGAGCATAGCAGTAACAACTATACCCGATTTCAAACATGTGGGTCAAACGTTTCTGAGTTATCGTTGACCGTAGCTAAATGTTGACGGACGGACGAACGGACGCACGACGGACGACGACCATGGCAATAGAGTACCGAAGTGTGACGTCACTGTGGTAGCATGACAACGAACCCACTGGTTCTAAACAACCACTGGCTCCATACATTAACTGCGTAAAAATGTGTGCGTACGTAAAACACGAGTGTGTGCGCTGCAGACAGCGGTAAAGCATCGGTAGCAAGTCGATCTTACAATATTTAATTAATTAATTTCATTTTTTTTATTTTTATTTTTTTTCGTTTTCTTGTTGCTTTTCACTTCCATCCTTTGGAATCTATAAAAACTGCAATAATGACTTCAGAATGATGGTTACAATCGGGTACAAAACACGACACCATTTTCACGCAAGTTAATGTTACCAGAGCATATGATTGTTAGAACCAGTGGGTTCGTTGTCATGCCACCGTGACGTCATCACTTCGGAGCTCTATAGCTCAGCTTAACGATGTCAAGGTGAGCTAAAAATAGTATTAACACCAAGCATTGGCAAGCAATAAAACAAACATTAGGAAAAAGTTATACTTGCGGGATGAACGATCGGTGTGAAAGTCACTTGTCACGTGGCACCGACTTCCATCCTGCTCCACTGGCTCTTCCAAATAGAGGTCCTCCACTGCATATATGTCTGTTTTGCCCAATGACACTGCAGTCCACCTGTATGTAAGGTGACGACTCGGGTTATGGAAATTTATCCCCCATACAAAATTTAACATCAGACTTCTACTTCTACTTTTATACTGTACAGTCCGTGAGGAATAACGTCCAGGGAGTGCACAGCTCCAGGTGCATGTGAAAGATTAGAATCGAACAATTTTACATGTAGACAGTAATGTGTTCCAGAGATCGAGGCTTCTCTGGGCCAGGCACTCATTTCTGAGTGCAACTAGCATACGGCAATGGGCTGTTGAGAGCTGTTGTAGTTGCCCAGCCGAAGATGTGTTTCGCTTCCTCGGGGTGGCTTGACAACGATACTGCCTGACTCAATGTTTTGCCAGAAGCCCGGTGAAATGCTGTGTGCTGCTCCGGTAGCAAGTTCCAGCTTCTGATGGTTCTAGGAAAGAAGCTGTACCTGTACCCATCTGTCCGGGTTCTGATGTTGTTGTATGTGAGCCGGTGTGTGCTGTGGCATATGCTGGTGCTTTTAGTGAGGAAGGATGGAATGTCGACTGTTGCCTGTCCGTTAATTATTTTCCAGAATAGGGCCTGCCGGTTAACGAACCTGCGCTCTTCTTAGGAGGGCCATTGTAGGTCTGCGATCATTTGTGTGACACTCTCAGTTAGCTGGTAATTTCCCGTTACGAAGCGTGCTGCTCGTCTCTGCACTTTCCCCAGAGAAGAGATGTAGGTCTGTCTCTCTAGGTATTTATTATATTCTGATCGTAGTTCATCCTTGATTTCTCGTTGAGTCTCTTCATAGAGTTCCTTATCACTATCAGTGTCTGACTTAGTTTTCTTTGCTTTGCTCCATCTCCATTTCCTTTTTTCCCATCATGCTCTTAATTTTTCTGGTGATGTATGGAATGTTGTTGCTTGCCTTTATGATTTTTTTTGGTACGTGTCTGTCAATCGCAGTCCCAATATTGTCTTTGAAGCTACCCCAGTTTTAAAATGATGATACTCCTCCCTTCTGCCTCTCTCATGAAAATGTCCTTGAATGCCAAGAGTTCAGTCTCAAGTAGGGAGGTGTCTGCCTTAGGTAGGGAGGTGTCTGCATAGGTTTTTATTTGGTGATAAAACAACTTAGAGTTAGAACGTTATTACTTGCTAAACATCCAACACTAGATATGGGGTCTCATAAAAAAGCATCAACCCACTAAAACAAATCATATACTTACAAGAATAATATCAATCAATCATTACAAACAAATACCTACCATTCGTGCAGTATGTTTCTTCGAAATTCTGCCCCAAATGGTCCGTATCTGTAACATGATGAAAATTTGCCGTTGCTTTCCACTGGATAGAAGAAGCCAAGGCGGTGACAGAGCTTTATCAGACCTTGCATCAAATTTTTATTCACTTCTGCCATGAGATCCAATTACCTGGATAACAAAATCAAATCATATTACCAACAATAGAATCATACTTACGCGGGTCAACCACTCGCCGCCTTAGTAGTCGTACTAATTCAATGAGAAAATGGCAATGTGCATTTTCAAAATAAAGCAAGCGTCAAGCGAATTTTTTGGTCCCTGCTCTATATTTTTGTTGATTGTGCGCAGCGGCATGCGTGCGGTGTACTTGTGTTGCAGAGGAGCATTTGAATGGCATTTACAGGAAATCATCAGTAATAATAGGCAATAGAGAGTAAACAAGAGCCGCAAAGCGTCTGGGCTCATCTGAGGTCTGTTGCAACGGTTATAAACGTAACATTTAAGTCGTGCATAGTGACACCTTTGTTAGGTGCAGATATGCAGATACGCAGTTGCGTACACATCATTTCAGCAACCTTCTGCATTCTGCATACCTCCCAAATCCCATTGGTTGATACAAATCGCGTGCCTGAAACTCCTGCTTTCTAGATTATGGATGTGCCATGAATATGAGAACACTGTGACATCATTGAGGTAGTTCAGGAATCCATGTTTAACCCTCTTCTTGAGGGTCAAAAGGTTATCAGACACTTACTCTTCGCACGTCAGTGGAAAGCACATTTCATGGTCCTTTCAATAGTGATAAAAATGGTAGGTCAGCGCTGAAACAAAAAAGTTTCCCACTCTGTCCATTAGGCCATGTCCTCAGAAAATGTCTGATATCTGACCTTTCCCCCACTGCCCTTTGACCTGTGACCTCCAATTTCGCACTGGTGATGGGTTTCCTGCCCATCACACTGTACACCAAATATTAAGAGCATAGGTCGAGCCGTTATGATTTGTGCCGCAATTCCGTATTTCCTCCTATGCCTTAAGTTAAGGGGGAAATATTCCCCCTCCGTTTACACGTCTTGACCTTTGACCCTTGACCCCCCCAAATTTGTCATCCTGAGTCCTTTTCACGATTTCCTCAGACAGTTTCCTGTAAATTCCGTCCAAATCCATATCCATATATATTATATATAGTAGTACACTATATATATTAGTGTAAGCGTGCAACAGTCGCGCCGCGAAAGCAATGGCGCCGGCAGCGTATGGTTGGACGTAGGATTTGGACGGAATTTACAGGAAACTGTCGGCAATAATAGGTAAAAGAGAGTATAGAAACATTAAGAATTTGGTAGTAAATAGATTTCGTATTTAGTTAGCATTATATTTTATTGAAACGCTTCAAGTGCCTGTGAGCCACAATGGCGAAAAAGAGCGCGCACGTCACATCCCTTAGCAACTAGCTGGTATCAATGCGCTGCTGCATAAAGTAGTGCACCGCGTAACCGCGTAGCGGCAGGAGTTGTCACCAAGAGAGAGTATAGAAACATTAAGAATTTGGTAGTAAATAGATTTCGTATTTAGTTGGCATTATATTTTATTGAAACGCTTCAAGTGCCTGTGAGCCACAATGGCGAAAAAGAGCGGCGCACGTCACATCCCTTAGCAACTAGCTGTATCAATGCGCGCTGCTGCATAAAGTAGTGCACCGCGTAACCGCGTAGCGGCAGGAGTTGTCACCAAGAGAGAGTATAGAAACATTAAAGGGACAGTAGCCTCTAGGATTTTACTGCCATACATTGGTACTTACTGTATAACAAATCATCTATACCCACATGTATTTGTTACCAGCATACCTAATTTAATTGTTATAATTAATTACACATCAACGCTACGAAATTGAACGGCGCCATGACACCCGCGACCGTGCTGCCACCCCGAAAAAGTTGCGTATTTGACAATTTATTTTGCACGTTACAGACGGCGAAGGCTAATCACAAAAGTGCAATTATATTTATACCTAAATGGTATTTAACCGAACGATATTCATTTTAAGGGCAAATTTAACCATATTATAAGAACTATATGTCGTTTATAAGATATTCAATCCTTTTGCTTTTAAATGAATAAATATGAAACACCCTCAGTACGTCTGTAGCCCTTGGCTGGAAAGTGGTTTTGCGCAACTCGTATCAGATCGTACGCATTGAGTGCGCCACCGTCGTTTGTAATGAACTGTAGTCGTTGTTTTAAAACATTTTTTTTAAATATTTCTAATGGCAGCGTGAGAAACTAGCGGCCCGCCAGTCGCCAGTGGCGATTAGAAAATTGACGCGGCGACTGCTTGCTCGTGTCAGCTGGTCCGCCGGGGCGACTAGATAATCGCCGCACACTCAACGCATCAACGCATGATTCGCACACCGTACACAAACTCGCGACAGTCTAAGAAATGGATTGCTACATCGCCGGCAGCCCAGAGCTTTCATGACCACATTAACAATAAGTTTTTATATCGCAGGGTTATCATGGGAGTGAGGGGCACGCCAGTGACACCTGACACGCACGTAATCAAGCTGTTAACTGAATTCGTCCTTTCCTTAACGCTAGAAAGTGGACTATTTTTATTCAGTTAGATATCTAGAAGCAATATTCTAGAAGTAGTATTCTAGAGTCTAGGCACTGTAACTTTGCGGCATGCTGCGGCAGCATTGATCTGTGCATGGGGGTACCGTGGAATGGGGAGGAGAAAACGAAAGTAAAACCTTGCCCAGAAGCTCCCGGCATTCCTAGAGATTCCAGTACAAGTTTTTTTTAACATACTCAAAGTAACTAAAAACACGCTCTGAAGTTCTGAACTTGCTCAATCGATTGTTAAAAAGAAAGTGAAAGATGAAGGAAATGAAGTAAAAAAAAGAAACTTGAAAATAACCATACCATCATTACCATGATTATAATTCTTGATTTCCTGTCTTTGTCATGTTACCTGACTATGTGTACTGCTGTAGTGCATATCTGTCTGTGTGAATGAAATAGAATAAGAATGTGATTGGTTTCTTAGTCGAGTGAAATGAGATAAAAAAAAGTGATCGAATGTAATCTGTTGACGATTTCTTAACACTGATAGTCTCATACTGGTGTAGCTCAAGAAACGGTATTGCTAGGTTAGTATATTGACGTTAATCACACAGCCTCGTTGGGTAATACTGGTGCTGAGTGCTGAATGCTGATGAATATATTTAGAGTCAGTGCATCAAAATTATGAAAATTTTAACAACAATCATGCTATGAAAAAGTAGCGCTGGCCAAGCCTAAAATAGGCTCCCGTAAAAAATATTACGAGCTCTTTTTTTCATACAAATCAAAAAAGAGCTTCGTAAAAAAGTAATTTTTAGGCTGCCGCCACAAGAAATTAAAAATTTACCAAACTATTATTTGTTATTTTCTACTAACCTTCTACATTATTCTAATGACAATAATGGTAAATTTAATCAATATATACTTCAAAATAGTCAAATTCCGAAGCCTAAAGCCATGCGAAGTACACAAACTCTCCATGTTTGTTGTGTTCGATTTTCTAGGTCATGCTGTTAAACTTCTGCTAAATCGATAATACTGGGCATCCCCGACCAATCACTGAATCAGCGATCGCGCTAATAAAATATGATAATTTTGATGATAATAGGATAATGGCCAGGTCTTCAGAAAACCGCTGATCTTTGAAATCGACTTGCGGACTTGTTCATTTACTACGCATCAGTTGCTACGAAACGTGTAAAAAATATAATGTTTAAGAATACCTTAGAATGCACATCACCAAATTGCACCATCCCCTCTATAAAAACGTCCCCACATCCGAGTCATTCACTTTGCTCTGACAGAAATCCTGGACCAGTGCCTTACTGACCAGGACCAGTGCGCTTCTCAGGAGCACTGGTCCTGCTGGACCAGTTGCCTCAATTATCAGTTTTTCACCCTGTAATGGTGCATTGAACATGAAACTTTTATATAGCGTAATATAACCTAAATAGCTGAAAAATACCCTAGAACCTAGAGTAAACTCTCCCTTAAGAATTTGGTGCAATGCCAATGCGTGGTACTGGTACTGGTACTGGTAGTGGTAGTAAATAGATTCGCAGTGGCTACGGGTACGGTAGCCGTCGGTCGTTGAAGCCCCTTTTTGGCGTTAGCGGTTAGGGTTAGGGTTAGGATTAGGGTTAGGTTAGGTTTAGGGTTATGGTTAGGGTTAGGGTTAGGGTTCTAGCTCATCTAAACTCTCCAACGTGAATTTATTTCCCAAGGCGTTATTTCGAGAATCTGGCGCGACGCCGCCATCTTTGTCTCGTTAAGTATGAAAACGAATGGACTCCCGTACCCGTAGCTCGCAGACATTAAGATACGGCTCGTACCCGTAGCCACTGCCAATAGATTTCGTATTTATACTACTGACTACGTACGTCTACTAGTACTCCAACTACAACTACATAGCCTAGGCCTATATACTTCATTTTTATATACAAAGTTTAGCACTTAAACGCGTCATAAATGTAACAGCTATTTCATTAAAACTATAAATTGTCTAATTATAAGAGTTAGAATACAGCTGACAGCATAAAAACTTACGTTGAGGAAAGAGGACGCATTGCCATTTCTACTCGTAGTTCTGGATTCTTCCACTACGTGGCGCGCATGCTGGTAATTGACCAATTTCCGGTAGACTGGTACCCGGTCCCATCTTTTCCCATCGAGTAATCGAAGTGGGACGCGAGTACCATCTAAAATTTGCCGGCTGCTAGCGGTAGAAAGTCGAAATTACAATGTCGATATTAATTGAGAAAACGAATATCTCGCGCCTATTGGGGATTCGACATGTCATATGTCTGCTTTTAGGCAACCCCTATACGCTTCACGACACCTCCACTAGAATGATTACTAACATTAGCGATTACGTAATACATATAACGTAACGTAAAAAGAACGTAGCAACCACTGGCGTAGGCCCCCTGGTGACTTGGCAAAACAAAACAAAAATTTTTTTTTCCTTGCCTCTCACGCGTCTTCACAGGACTGGCCACATTCCTGGTTACTTCTGCATCTGCTGAACGAACATTCTCTAAATGAGCATTGTCAAGTCTAAACTCGTCTACAATGACCAGCCACGATTCTCTGCTCTCATTCTCCTTTGTTTCGTTGAACAGGAGTTAGTGAAGACATTATGTCAACGAAATCCTCAAAATGTTCTGTGCAAAATCGACGAGAAGACTGACTTTGGATTTTGAGATTTTCTGCAGCAGACAAAACATGACTAAAAGAAAGGAGATAATTCTTTCTTTGCTCAGATTTGCTGTGTTGCGTGGCTTTGATTGAATTTTATGTTCTGAATCTTATTGACCGAGAAAAGAAATGGAAATGCTTGTGAATAACTTGATATATTCGAACTTATAGACGGCCATTTTGGCCAGAAACCGTCGGTTTTTCATTCTCTCAAATCCGATTTCAAACACTATTTTAAGTAACTGTTCTCTATCAGGGGAGGCAAAAACAATTCTTTTCATGGTAAATTTCCTTTTTTATTTTAAATAGAGCGGCTATTTTGGCAGCTACCTTTGTTTTTATTTGAAATCAAATTTCATATGGTTTTTAGACTTTTCATTCAGAAGGAAAGCAAAAATACATTTTTAATAACGAACAAAATGGTTAAATTGATCTTTAACGCTCATTAATGTGTATTCTAAACGATCGTAAATCTTTTGGTAATTTAAATAAATGCATCGTTTATTTCAGGTGCAGTTCCAACAATCATCTACCTGTTTTTCGGTAGATCTTTATTTCGATTTCATTTCAATATTGCCCTCGACTTTTTCAAAAAAGGAATTAACTTTTAACTTTTAGTAGGAGGAACTTGAACAGTTCTATGACGGATAAACCAACATTGCATGGTACTGCTAACAACACAAATCAAACTACTTCCAATATTCGTCAGTGCTTGAATGAGGAATAGGCGTAGCTAAGGGGGGGGCACAATGGAGGCCATGACCCCCTTCTGATCGGAGAGTACGAAAATTAAGA